ATATTAATTGAGCTCTGTTTATGTGGTGAGCACTGTGGATGAGTAAGATCCATTTTTATCTTATTGAACATCAATAATGAATATGTTTATAATATCCACACTTTGATTCCTATTTCAATTCTGCCTGAACAAAGTCTGGCCATCTAAGCTTATTAGCCATAGAGCCACGATATTTGTGCCTTAGTTTCCTCATTTGAAAAGTTTGGATGATGAAAGTACCTGCATTTAAATGTCTACTTAAATATTAATTAGTTTTATATGTAAAACTACAGTGCTTAATGACGGAATATTATACCAGATATAGTGCCTACTCTCAGGGAGATTCTATTTATGTTTGTCTTCTCTAAAGTAAGCTTATTCATAGATTTGGTGACAGGGAGGAAATGGAGAAAAAGAATACAACAATCAAACTGGGTTTCCTTGGGTTTGTATATTGTGAGAGTGAATGTAACGTATTAGACAAATGACAGGACTCTGTCACCTACCAGGGTTGACCTTGGTCAAACCCTTTAGTGTTTTTGCCATCTTTACTCTTCACTGATGGGAATAATAAATACTACATCACATGGATGTGTTGTTAATTCTTCAAGAATTCAGGAAGGTGATTCATGTGCAGCATTTTATTAAATTATAACATGCTGTTCATATGTATTATACAGGTTGAGTATCCTTTATCTGAAATGCTTGGGATCAGAAATGTTTCAAATTTTGGACGTCTGGGATTTGAAATATATTCATTGTTTTGGAAAACTGAAATGCTCCAAAATCTAAAATTTTTTTAGTGCAAACATGTTGCTCAAAGGAAATGCCCACTGAAACATATTTTATTTCAGATTTTTTATTTTGGATCCTTAAACTGTATTACTGTGAACTTTTTTGATGTTGCTACTTATAAGTAACCTTGGCTGTGATTGTATAATTACTTACTTAGTTTGCCTTTCTGCCATCCTCCTAACTGCCCAGGGGGTGTGTGGTAAGGATACCCGAATGTATTTATATAGTCTAAACCAAATGTAACAAGAAACCTCATTCTGTTAATAATAATACTACATTGCAATGAGAAAAATTGTGTATACATTATTTAATATTTTATTACCATGTTATGTGCCCTATAAGTGTCGTTTTTCTTACATATGACAGAAATATAGGGGCATTATTGGATTGTAACATTGTATTCATTTGGAACATTTACATTGTAAATAGAAAATGTTTCTATGATTTACAGTTTAAAAGAAAAGAAAATGTAAACACTAGAATTTAATACAAGTTTATAGTTCTTATTTATGGCATTAACAATTTTTGGCATGCAACAAATTCATTTCTCCATAATTTGTAATACAATTTTAAAAACTTGGCAATACATACGTATGGTCTGTGAGCCATACCTTTTCTAATCAAACAATGCAATTCAAAGGTATTGCATATGATTTAGAAATGACTGAACAAATATCTTATTTTTTAAAACAATAACATGATTACATATTATATCTATTTTATGAACTCTTGGGAAATATAGAGGAAAATTTACTAGTCATTTTTACCTATTTCTTTCTTTTATACAGAATAAAATTCCCCTTAATTTGGATTTGTCATTTACTCTAACCACAGGATATAGCTTATGACATTAAGTTTGACAAAGGACAACAATGAAATCACTTTAAGGAAATATATAAACATATTTATAGAGGCTGAATAGATAGTAAAAATAGTTTGGAAATTAAAAGTGTAGAGAGAAAAGCAGATAAACCAGTTTCAAAAACTTTTGGAAATGAACAATGACAGCTCTGTCAGAATTCAGGATATTGGACTAGACTAAAAAACAAGAGATCCTGAAAAAGTCCCTAGCACAGTTGTCATCATGCAATTTATTTATTTATTATCTCATTACAGAGAGGAGGAAAGGGAATATTTTAGTCCTGTGTTTTTAGATAATTGCAGGCTGTTTTATAGCAACAAATGTTTTTTGCCAGCATAACCCACAATGCCATCCATATACTCTTTCTTCTTTTGTTCTCCAGTTTTACATTTAATGGGTTAGAGATACAAATTGTTTATAAATTTTACTTTCCTCCCTACCCATTAAAATGCATGGACATTATGCAGATAATGCATTGCAATATAATTTTATATAGTGAATCCAGATTCTATTTCACCACTTTTTCTTTTTATAACATACATAAAATATCAAGAAGCAAAATTATTCACTGTTATTTGGATTATGTATTTAATTCTCGAACCATTCACTGAGTATTTATTATGTAGTTGTGCAGGATATAGTGGTGTGCTTGTTTCTTATATTCATATATTTTGATTATTCAGTGAAGAGAAGCTTCTAAAATCAGAATAAAATGATAGGTAATGACTGGTCAATCCTTAGTGTTACTAAGGTTTTCAATGACAAATTACATTGTCTTGCCAGTTTTTGTTATGGAAATATTATTTGTGTTCGCTTGTTTCAACTTAAATTATAGAACTGTTTTACTTCAGTCTTGAAAATATCAAATAAATGATAAATGAGCTACAGCCAGTCATGACACGGGCAAGATAATAATAATTTTCTCCAAAGCACAACAGCCTAATAAATCTTAATGTTGAGTAACCAGCAATCAACAGAGGCAAGCTTTACTTACTCTCCAGTTTCTCTGGTATTAAACGGGACCAGAGAATCAAAATCAAAATTTTATGAAATGGCAGTTGACTTAATAGAGGTTGAAGTTCTTCAAAAAATAAAAAAATTCTATCAATGTATAGGATAATATTTGAAGAATATAACAGATACCTCAATACTTTTTTGTCACATAGCCTATCTTCCTCATTAAGATTTTGTTGAAGAGAGAAATAAAACTCACAAGGAAGTTAGGATAAGTTCCACTCAAAAATAAGACTGTCTGTGAGTTTTATGTGAAAGAAGACTAAAGTTCCATGAACCTGCATTTTTGTGTTTTAGAATGAGAAGACTAAAATTCCATAAATGTGCATTTTTATGTTTTAGAATGTAAATCTCTCTGTGTGTTTATCAGTAAGATATCCCTATCTAAGGTCACTTCAAGGTTCCGAATCAGTTCTGAAAACTTATTTGTGGGCTAGTAGTTGAAAAATGTCAACTTTAGTATGACTTTCTATCCCCAACCTCAGATTTCATTATAATGGACCTGAAGTCTACACTTTGGTGACTATTGATTAAGCACTTTGTTAAGGTGCTTAGTTATACTTCTAGTTGTCTGTCTGAATATAGGTTTTTTATTATTCTGGTGTAAGCATGAAGTACATCTCAGATAAGACTTGAGATGCCTATATTAGCCGATTTGAGACATACAGTCCAGTAAACAGTGAAGTTACTCAATAAAGATTAATTGAGGATGATGATAAATTATGATCTTATAACAAAGTTTTTTTAAGTGTCCAAGAAATATTATTAAAAATAGTATTTGTAAGGAGGGAGGGAGGAGGGCAAGTGTTGAAAAACCTACTATTAGATACTATGCTCACTGCCTGGGTGAAGGGATCAATTGTACCCCAAGCCTCAGCATCACATTATATAGCCATGTAACAAACCAGTGCATGTAACCCCTGATTCCAAAATAAAAGTTAAAATTATTTAAAACACAATATTTATTAATTAGTGAGATGAGGGATCTAAAATTTGATAACCTCATTTTCAACTTTCTAAGGAAAACTTTTGATATATAACAGTTTTTCCTTGGTGATATTGAGGAATATAACCACTCAATATCACTTTGCAACATGATATTGAGACTTCAAAAAAGTCGTTGGAGGGAAACCAGTATGGTTTGGACAATAATTGGAAACATACAAGCTTAGATCAAAGTATAAAAATCTCACCCAAATGTAATAATACCAAACAGTATTTCTCACTTGTTTTTGAACTCTTCCTAGAGTTTTAAATTGATTTATTGTGCATAATATCTCAGTTCATCTCTTCCACTGAAATTGCTTTAGTTTTACATCACTTGAAATCTGTGATTTTTTTAAAGTTTGTGTTATGAACTCATTCTTCCCTGACATTCTCCTCTTTTTTTCTCATTGGTTCCTCTTTTCATGTTAGAATGTAGCAAATTTTCTCTGGTAAAACAAAATGTTTATAAGATAAAGAGATGCTGCTTGATGAGTTTGTGAATACGTTAACAGTTTCCCAAAATTTTTGCTGACTTGTATTATTTAGTACCTTAAAAATAATTCTGGACTTTAATTTGAAATGTATAAGCATAACGTGTTTGAGGATCTCTATTTTGACAAATATATGTTGACTCAGTTAAGAATTTCAGAAAAGACCAGAGCCAGTGGCTCATTATTTTTCTAAACCTTCTGATAACGTATTTTTCTGAAACATAGTATTTTTCCACAATAATATCAAATATTAATGAGTAGGAGGGAGAAAAATTTCTTCAATAAGGATTCCATATCAATTTATTTAGGGTAAGAGCATTCCACATTAATGTGTAGTCTCATGAGGTGCATCTCTCATAAGACTGACAAGCTACGGAAAATCTTAGGCTTTCGAAAATGATTTGCTGAGTAGTTCCTTCTGAACAAATTCTTTGAAATGCATAGAAAGCACAACTATTATGTGAAATAGTGGAATAAACTATAATATTTATAAGTGAGACTAGCCAAACTATTTGAAAGCTTTCTTTGTATAATTGCTGACCTGCCTTTCAAATGGAAATATTGTGTTCTTATTATGAATATTGTATTTCTTATGTCTGTAATTTGGAGTGGCATGTTTATTTAATCTTAGTTTGATTAGTTTTTGTACTTTTTCTCAAAGTTTATATTGTATTTTAAAGCATATAATTATTTTTAAATAACTATATAAGAGAGATGGGTTTTATTAAAACATATAATATTCAATAAAGCAAGTATGAGTGAAATAAATTATTTTCAGTTTGGAAGAGGTGAATAAAAAGTGCTTGGCCAATACCGTACCATTAATCTATTCTCTTTTCTCCTTTCTCTCTTTACTTCTCTCTCTCCAATAGAAGTGGAACAAAAAGGTAATTAAATACCTTTCATAAATTGTATACTATTTATAGGCTAAGTTATTTAACAGTTTAACATTTAGTTAAAATAATTTTGTTATTAATTCTTATCTATTTTATGAAAATTTATTTACTACTTCTGCTGCTCAACTTCACTTTAATCTGTATTACTGACAAGTGTCAGCTTCTTTTATCTAAGAAGAGTTTAGTAGTATAAAATTTTCAGCATTGTATATGCTCCTTCATTTTTAAGTAGTTAGAAATCCAACTCATGGTGATGAATAGTGGTTACATTAATTTATTTTTATTGATGTACTAGAAAATTTTGCAAAGCTCTAGTATGGTTTCCTATTCCATTAATTTTTAACTATTAGGGGGAAACGGGAAATAGTTTTCTGAACCACCTAAAGTAAATTATGTTAGTAATCAAGGATGATTATTAACATTAGCATAAAGTTTATACATAATTTTCATAATGGATAACTATTCTTCATAATTATAGAAAGCATATGAAATTCTTATAATCAATATAACTATTGATTATGTATTGATGATGGCCCTCTGCTCTTTCTATGGAAAATTTTAGTAGTTAGACTGTCCCCAAACTTTTTATTTACTTAAAAGCGAAACTTTGGGCATTTTAATAATGTACTTTTCTTTTTGATAGTCTCCAAAACCTACCTGAGTTTTATCTTAGATTGTTTTCCATTGCATCTATGGTTATAGTTACTGTTTAAAAGCCAATCACTAATTCCAAAAGAATAATACTTTAATTATTTAAAAAAAGGGTCAATATCCAAATTACTGTGATTTCCTAATTTTTTCACCCACTGCACTTCTAATAATTCCAAACATAACAATAGACTGCATGATTATTTTTCAATGTGTTTGCTTTACAAATATGGTAGAGCGGTGTTTCCCATAGTAGGTTCAGTGGAACTCCATACTCCAGAGAAGCTCTATGAAAAAGGTCCCATGATCCAATTAGCAAGTGAAATTTTCTCAACTTTCCCACTTCTGCTTTGGAGATTCACGAATTCAAAGCTATTAAAATTCTAAGCTATTAGAATCTCTGCCACAATTATATTTAATGTAACATTTCTTAAACACATATGGCTAAGGATCCCTTTTTCCTTTCTGTGTAACATCTAGCTACGCCACTTGAAATGCGTACTTCAAGGACCACCCTTTGGGAAACATTGCTTTATAGCCCCTTCATTACAGATTAATCAGCCAGGCTTTCTTACCATCATTCACATAATATGCTACTGAATCATACTAAAAATCAAGTGAATCGGATGATTCTTGGCCATTTTCATTCTGAAGTATGAGCAGCAAAATATAGAAAGTAATCTTGGGTTTTAATGCTCTTCTCATGTAACAGTAAAAGGTACATGTTTTTAAGTTCCAATACTACTGTATTTAACAGGACATTTTTAACTGATTAAAATCTAGATCTTGGGTTCTTTTCTGTAACCTTACACCTTTTCTTCTTTCCTTATTCCTTCTTTCCTTTCTTTTTCTTCCTTTCTCTTTTCCTTCCAGTATCCATCCATCACTCATTTTTAATTGTGTGGGTTGCATGCTCTGTGTGTGTTGTAGCAACTTTGAGAGCTTTTTTGCTAAAAGATTCAGTGGCCTGTATTACAGGGCTTTTCTTTTGCTTGATTAAAAAATTATTATGGGATATTTATCTGTCTCTTAATGATAACTACTGAATGGCTAATTTCATCAGAATGGAAACAATAATTTTTGTTTCTAAATATGTTCTTCAGTAAACGAATAAACGTATTGTATATAAACACTTGTATTTCTTATATGTCTATAGAAAACATAGACATATGTCACATCTGATATGTGTTTCCAAAAATATTATAGCATGTTTATAAAGGTAACAATCACAGGAATGCACAGCTACTTATAAAAAGGCTAGATATTTTCAGTAACAAAATCAAAATTATTTTGAAATGAAGCCAAAATTAATGTGGAAGAATACTTTGTGTTCTTAAAAGAATGCAGCAAAATAAGTGATGGTGGGTATCTCTTGTTAGAGTTGCATTCCATTTGATGAAAACTAAGACTGTAAAACAAAATACTAAATTAATATATTTATTTAACTGTTTCCCTTCCAACAGTTTTTCTTTGTCCTGGACTACTAAAAGGAGTATACCAGAGTGAACATTTGTTTGAATCCGACCACCAATCTGGGGCATGGTGCAAAGACCCTCTGCAGGCATCTGACAAGATTTATTATATGCCCTGGACTCCCTACAGAACTGATACCCTGACTGAGTATTCATCCAAGGATGACTTCATTGCTGGGAGACCAACTACAACCTACAAGCTCCCTCATAGGGTGGATGGCACAGGATTTGTTGTGTATGATGGAGCTTTGTTCTTCAATAAAGAGCGCACCAGGAACATAGTAAAATTTGATTTGCGAACTAGGATAAAGAGTGGAGAGGCTATCATAGCAAATGCCAATTACCACGATACCTCCCCCTATCGATGGGGAGGCAAATCTGACATAGACCTGGCAGTAGATGAGAATGGGTTATGGGTAATCTATGCAACAGAACAAAATAATGGTAAAATTGTCATTAGTCAATTGAACCCTTACACCCTACGGATAGAAGGAACATGGGATACTGCATATGATAAAAGGTCTGCTTCCAATGCCTTTATGATTTGTGGAATCCTGTACGTGGTCAAATCTGTATATGAGGATGATGACAATGAGGCCACTGGGAATAAAATTGACTACATTTACAACACTGACCAAAGCAAGGATAGTTTGGTGGATGTACCCTTTCCCAATTCATACCAGTACATTGCAGCTGTGGATTACAACCCAAGGGACAACCTTCTTTATGTATGGAATAACTACCACGTCGTGAAATATTCTTTGGATTTTGGACCTCTGGATAGTAGATCAGGTATGTTCAACCTTTTATGGTTCTCTTTGGGGAATATTTACTATTTGTTCTCAGTAAGTTCATTGTATGTTTTTATTAAACTTTCTTTATGTTCTTCTGGCCTGCATATCTGAAAATAATGTTTTGTCTTTGCATCTAAAGAGGGTTGCTTCTGATCACTTTCAGCTGTAAAAATGTGTAACTACAAGCAATAGACTCTCCTTTGTTCTGCTCACCTCCAGTCTTTAGCTCTTCTTTGAAGGGCATTTGTCATTTTCAGCAGGTTAGTACTTTGTGTAGTGAAGTGCACAAAACCACTGATAAAATAGAATGCCACCCTGTCTAATTAATTGTGAAATGCCCACAGAAGTGCTGTCTACTTAGAACATGTCAGGGGCTAACTTGATGTTATGTTTCAGGAGCCAACACCAATGTATTCACCTCACAGAGAGCATCATATATGACCTCTCCTTTTGGAAAGGTTGTCAGTTTGAGTGTGCCTGTGTCTGAATGAACTTAATTAATATATTGAGAAAAATGTTCCTAACTGATAAGTACAGAGAAAATACATCTTAGTTTTTATAAGACATTGCAATTTTTATACAGTTTTGAGTAACCTTGAGATAATCTTTAATTGCAATTCTTTAAAAGTGTCCTTTTTCCATTGAAAACATGTTTTAATGTTTTCAATTTCAAAGGAAATGTTATTTCCTTTTAATGTTATTTAAAAACAATCATAAATAGATTTATATATATTTTTTTTTATTTTTATGTGCTCAACTCAACACAGTTCTCTTAATTTAAAGGTTAAAATGGGCCGGGCATGGTGGCTCAAGCCTGTAATCCCAGCACTTTGGGAGGCCGAGGTGGGTGGATCACGAGGTCAAGAAATCGAGACCATCCTGTTCAACATGGTAAAACCCCGTCTCTACTAAAAATACAAAAAATTAGCTGGGCCTGGTGGCGCACCTGTAGTCCCAGCTACTCAGGAGGCTGAGGCAGGAGAATTGCCTGAACCCGGGAGGCGGAGGTTATGGTGAGCAGAGATCGCGCCATTGCACTCCAGCCTGGGTGACAAGAGCGAAACTCCATCTCAAAAAAATAATAATAATAAAATAAAATAAAGGTAAAAATGTTTAGCTATTGTATTATTCCGTTCTCACACTGCTCTAAAGACGTGAACAAGACTAGGTAACTTATAAAAGATACAGGTTTAATTGACTCAGTTCTCAATGGCTGAGGAGGCCTGAGGAAACTTACAACCATGGCAGAAGGTGACAGAGAAGCAAGGCATGTCTTACATGGCAGCAGGCAAAAGAGAGTGAACCGTGGAAAGGGGAAGAGGCGATTATAAAGCCATCAGATTTCATGAGAACTCACTATCACAAGAATAGCACATGGGAAACTGCCCCTATGATCCAGTCACCCCTATCAGGTCCTGCCCTTGACATGTGGGGATATGGAGATTACAATTCAAGATGAGATTCTGGTAGGGACTCAGAGACAAACCATATCAACTAGTCGCAGTAGTGTTCTCCAAGATAAAGAATAATGGAAAGCCAAAATATTGGTGTCTGAATTTTGACAGTAATATAGCAATTCAAAAATTAAATTATTTTTGTCATTCAGTTCTAAAAACATATAACCACAAGAAATTGACTCTCCTTTGTTCTGCTCAATTCCATTTTTTAGCCCTTCTTTTTTGAAGGGCATTTGTCATTTTCAGCACATTAGTTCTTTATATAGTGAAGTGCACAAAACCTTTGCTAAAGTAAAATATAATCCTGTTAATATTTCTTATTTCTGCATTGTTTCTAATGATGCTTTTACTAGCACTAGCATGACATTCTTTTAACTTAGTCCAATATGTGCACATCTTTTTACTGAACTAGATTCTACGATTTTATGGCCAATGGCCTTGCCTTACCCTTTCTTTCATTGTATTTTTCTCTTACCATTATTTCTGCCTTCTCTGACTCTAGTGTAATGTATCACATATATATGATGAGGCTGAATCACTCTTGTGGAATAAATGAATGAATGAATGGCTTTTCACTTCTTATTCAGTTAGGATGACAAATTAGGTGATACTTTCTCTAATCATGGAAAGGATTCAGTCAGAGTGATGGCACTTGTTTCCATAATCAGCAAGGTATGTTGAGTTGGTTTTTATGGAAAGAAAAGACCAAATATGTAATAGCAACAAAAGCAATTTCTCCTAAGTCTTCAACAAAATCTTCTAGATCAACTCTATTGTCTGACACACTGCTGTACAGGTAAGGTGTTTTGTTTTGTTTTGTTTTGTTTTGTTTTGTTTTGTTTAACACATTACATTCTCCAGTTTAAAACTTGATCAAGAATCCATTATCTAGAGTATTCTGGGAAGACATTTCTTTTATAGCTGGAATATTTTTAAACTAAAATTTATCTTTGGTTAGTGAAAACTTTGTTATGGATGGTTTTTAGCCTTTTCTGACTGGAACAGGAAGTGATTTCTAATATCTCAAGGGAATAATAAATAACTCGCTTTTTAGTTAAACAGTCAATAAGGGGCAATAACATAATTCAAATTTTATTTATTTAAAAGATCATACTTTATTTTTATTTAGAATAATAGGTTAAAATTAATTACCATTTTAGATTCTGATTTGATAAACTAGAGGAGGTTCTTAACTCATTTTTTTTAAAAGTTATCCTTAAAAAATAAGATGATACCATAATCCCAAGTGTTTAAAAACTTGCCAAAAATATTTTTAGCATATATACAATTGTAGTATACAATAACCATGAATATATATACTCATACACATATATGACTATATGCTTTTTTTATGTATGTAATATATATGTATGTATAGTCTTATATGTGTATGAGTATACATATTCATATGGTTATTGTTATATGTTTATATATTCATATGTTTGTATACTCATATATGACTCCTATATGTGTGTGCATACATATGGACGGGGGTAAGAGAATGAATCATTGCAATTGTAAACATAAGGAAAATTATACCTTCATTTATTTTTTTTTTAATTTATTTATCAGTCTGTTTATGGGAGTTAAAATATGGGCCATCTAGCCTGCATGTACTAGTGCCCATATTTGTTAAAAGGATGCTATTGAAGGAAAGACTTGGAACCAACCCAAATGCCCACTGATGATAGACTGACAGGGAAAATGTGGCACATGTACACCATGGAATACTATGCAGCCATAAAAAATGAGGAGTTTGTGTCCTTTGTAGGGACATGGATGAACCTGGAAACCGTCATTCTCAGCAGACTGACACAAGAACAGAAAATCAAACACCACATGTTCTCACTCATAGGCGGGTGTTGAACAATAAGAACATATGGACACAGGGAGGGGAGCATCACATACTGAAATGACAAATGCCACGGAGAAATGATCCTGTCTGACTTGGTTCATGGCCATATTCCAAATGCTTAACAGAAGCCTGACAAATAGTACGTGGTCAATAAAAGATTGCTGAATACATGGATATAACTAATTTGAATTATTTCTAACGTTCAAGCCTGGTGAGGTGGCATGCACCTGTAATCCCAGCTACCCAGGAGGCTGAGGCTGGAGAACGGCTTGAGCCTAGGAATTCAAGACCAGACTGGGTAACACAGCAAGTCTTCATCTTAAAAAAAAAAAAGGTTCATAATTAAATTACTATTAAAACATCCAAGTCATTTCATTAAAAAAAAAAAGAAAGAAAAGAAAAAAATGCTACTGATGGCTGGGCATGGTGGCTTACACCTATAATTCTAGCACTTTGGGAGGCTGAGGTGGGCAGGTGACTTGAGATTGGGAGTTCAAAAACTAGTCTGGCCAAAATGGTGAAACCTCTCTACTAAAAATAAAAAAAATTAGCTGGGCAGGGTGGCGTGTGCCTGTAGTACCAGCTACTTGGGAGAATGGGGCAGGAGAATTGCTTGAACCTGGGAGGTGGAGGTTGCAGCAAGCGTAGGTCGCACCACTGGACTCCATCCTGGGCGAAAGAGCGAAACTCCATCTCAAAAAAAAAAGGATGCTATTGAAGTAGAAAACATTAAGAAGTGATAGGCTTGCAGCTTCAAAAATGAATTCCTAACTTAAATCAGGAGATTGAATTTTTATTCATTTTGAACAATGACAATTAAGACTTTGTTTTACAAATAGTGAAATTTTACCTGTTAAATTTGTCATTATAATCACAAAACAACTATAAATTTTCATGTATGAATGCTCAAATTGAAAAGCTAGTTCTTTAGCATGGACTTATTGCAATTTATGGGTGGAAAGAATATGTATAGAAATAAATTTTATGCATGATGTGTGCAGATAGGAAAATTTCAGTTAGTGTTAATAGAGGCAGTTCATCTTATTTCACATAGTTTCAGCTGGGTATTTTTCTTTGGTAAATTACATCGACTTTTTTTGTTTGTTTGTTTAAAGGAATTGCCTTTAGTGAATTCTTATTGCTATTTTATTATGGGTCCTGTGTGTCTATGTACAGAAATCCTCAACATATTACAAATATGTTAGAGTCAGAAACTAATCCTAAATCTGTAGACCCAAAGTGCATTTGTTGTTACCATCTGTTGGTAGCAGGCTGAGTCTTTTTGTGATCATTTTAACTGTGTTCTGATTAATGAAAATTTGTTCCTTTGAAGTTTGTATGTAAAGGGGTATCTGTGTTTTATGTCTCCTGTAGAAAGATCTGGTGTTAAAAAATAAAAGACAAATATATTTATTTTGGATAAAGATCCTCGGGTGACACTTGGTGAGGCTTACACATAGGTAGCAAAGACTTCTGAACATGCCCGTGGGAGTCAGAAGGATGTGGATTTGAATTCTCTCTGCCTCTTGTTTGACTATGGGCAGGTTGTTCAATCTTCAGTCTTGATTTCTTCAGACTCTAAAGTTGAAAAAATAACATCAACCACAGATTATTGTTATATTTTAATGAGAAAATATATGTAATAGGCATGATACAGTAACAAACAGCCTAATAGATTTGTACCAA